ACGGCACATAACAACAACAGCAACATGTTCATACCGTATCTTATTTAATCCTGACATCAACCCTGAAGAATCAAAAAAAAAAAAAAAAAAACTGTACACTTTAAATATTTTAACCATAAGCAAAATTTTAAACTCACAAAGATGGTTCAGAAGCCCAGTGGGTATGAAAACTGCATTTCCTAACATTTCCATCTTTTGCTTCACTTATGTGACCCTTTGGTTTAAAGCCAATTTTTATTTGAGATAAATATGAAGTTAGAAAGAAAGTATCATGCAGAAGTTAGTTAAAATCAGATATGAATTAATTCTCCTTACAGGTTCTAAAAAAAAGAATCAAATAGCATTTTGGTTTCAAATGATTAAATATTCCTCCAGATAGCTAAAATGAAGGAAGAAATGTGTTTGGAATAAATACAGAGCTCATACTAAAAAACAACTACTTATGAAATTCATTAAAAAAAAAAGGAAAAAAACATCAGATGCTAAATACATTTTTCTCAGGATCTAGGATATCACTTCAGGCGTTTTATAGACATAGCATGGTTTCTGTCTATACATTTTGGTTTTATTTTTACTGTTATTGAAAAATCAAAATATTCATGTTACTAGGGCTTACCCTTAGTTGAATCCACTCATCTTTGTCTTACGTGTGTCTTAAGGCTACTTAAAACAACTGATTTTAGCCTATGGTTCATGGATCTCAGAATGTCTTTGTAATAAAATGTCTATGAAAAATGTCTATGCAAAAACATTATGTATATACAATATAGTTTTTGGAAGAAGTCAGGATTCCTTTAGACATTCACATCTAAAATCATGCTGAGAACTACTAGAAGGCCTCAGAAACCAGTACACTTAAACTTTAAACTAATTGTGTAGTTTAAATTATGTGTCCTTTGGCTCCCAGATGTGTAAGCTGGGTCTGGATTAATAAATCTAAAATAGGAAAAAAAAAACAGTAATTAAGAATTTCAAATGAGTATATTAATACAGGAGTTTCAGTGAATGTTGCAGGATCTGCAGAGATTAAACATTCAGAAACCAATGTCTGCTCTCAGAGCAGTTCTGGAATCATAGTTTCCATACATTCATGAGTGAACAAGAAGTATCTTCCAGCCTTTTTTGTTACAGTTGCTGCTAATAGAAAACTTTGTTCTTTATCAGTCTAGTAATGGGTTCTATGGCAGCAAGTGTTGGAAGGTGGTGCCTGTGCCCTTTAAACCTCTACAGTGGGATCAGGTTCAATGTCTAAAACCGTTTTCAGTACAGATTGGGATCATGGTATCAAAAGTCAAACTCACTGCCGTGGAGTCAGACCCGACTCATAGTGACCCCTCCTTGGGTTTCTGAGGCGGTATCACTACGGAAGTAGATTGCCCAACCTTCCTTCTGAGGAGTGGCTGGTGGGTTTGAACTGCCAGCCTTCTGGTTAGCAGTCAAGTGCCTTAGGCACTACACCACCAGAGCTCCTGGAACATGGTATAGAATATGCCAATATTCTATAGTGAGGAGGTTGTTATTGGGTGCCATTGAGTTAATTCCTACTCCTAGTGACCCTATGTACAACAGAACAAAACACTCTCCAGTCCTGCACTGTCTTCATAATCACTGCTATTTTTTAGCCCATTGTTGCAGCCATCGTGTCAATCCATTTTGTCGAGGGCCTTCCTTTTTTTTCACTGACCCTCTATTTTATTAAGCCTGGTGTCCTTCTCCGGGGCCTGCTCTGTCCTGATAGCATAACTAAGAACATAATAGGAAATCTCACCATCCTTGCTTCTAAGGACCATTCTGGTTATATTTCTTCCAGGACAGATCTGTTCTTTCTTCTGGCAGTTGATGATATATTCAATATGCTTCACTAACACCATAATTCAAAGGCATCAATTCTTCTTCAGTCTTCTTTATTCATTGGTTAGCTTTTGCATGTGTATGAGGAGACTGAAAACACCATGTCCTGAGAGGAAGTACACTCCCTCCTCCTGGCAAAGTATTAATTTTTTTTTTCCCCATTTGAACTTTCCAACGGACATTACTAAGCAGATGAACTTTTATCATTTCTTCTAGGTTTTCTCCCAACATTGATTGTTTGAAATTGGCTGATAGCCTGCTGTATCTTAAAATGATATCAATTTAATATATAAAGATAGTTGTGTTTTATTCATTGAAACAGGTCTCTTGGTAGACTTTCATGGAATTTAATACTTGAATATTTGATAACGCAGGAAAGACATTAAGTTATAAACAAAAACAGTGGAAGAAAATATTCTTAGTCTATGGTCTTTAATAACAACTTTGCTATTTGGGACATAAATACACACTCATGGTAGCCGTGTGTTTCTGATTATCTCCT